CCCTCGTGTGGTTTTCAAAGGACACATGCCAGAATAATGTACCGTCAAAAAACCACACGGCGCGTACTACTACTACTACTACTACTACTACTACTACTACTACTACTATTCCTAAAAAGAAAAACACCCTGCCATCCCAAGCCCAGGCCCGAGCTCACAAACTCGAGGGCGCCCGCGGCTGGCAAACCAAAGGCTGAACGCCTCGAGGATGAGACCAGAGGTCTGTTTGCTTAGCAATTAGGGGTTTAGGGTTTATAGGGTTTAGGGTTTAGGGTTTGGGTTTCAGGGGCATAAGGTCTCAAGTGACAATTTGTATAGCTTTGGGTCAGCTTTCCTGAACAAAGTATGAAGGTCTACCTGGACCCTCAAAATATGTAAGTCAACGAATTTTTGTGTTTAACAGTTTGCATGGATTTGAGTAAGTATTTCATCCCTCTGAGTTGTTGGTGAAGACTATCAGCTCTGAGGTTCAGGAAATGCAGGGTTTCCAGGTCATTGAGGCTTAAGTGCTAAAAGAAAGACCCTTTGCATGCCTCTTTTGTTTGAACTAGTGATTGAGGGTGGGGTGTGGGGCAGCCAGGCAGTCACATTCCAAGGTTACTCCTTTGCGTCGCCTATCTGACGCTTAACCAGGTCTCGGAAGGTTCCTACCGACAGCCCGCCTATGACGCCTGGTTGAAAGTACAGGCTCGAGGGTGTTACATTTTCGTTTGGGCCCAGGGTTCACTCTCTTTTCAGTTCTTGGAATTAAGGTTTGAGGCTTCGGAGTTTAGGGAAACACGAGCAGAGGCTTTTGGGCTTCATTTGTGTTTGGCGTTGCGCACTGGTGGTAACGATCTGGAGCTTCCAAAATTACAGCCCGGCCTTTCACTGTCTTCGGTTTCACACCGCTTCAGGCATGTATTTCCATCAAAGGATGCGTACTTGAATTCCTGACATACTACATCACACATTCAAGCAAGGATATGCTGGATCGACATTGCATCAAGGAGAGCATGAACACAAGCAGGTCATCGCATGCCAAGGCTGCTACACCATCTGGTGACCATCATACCCGGCAACCTCCGGCCAATGACGGTCTTTGGGCTTATGGCTGCGTGCTTTGCAGGGGTACAATGTAGCACATGGTCAGCCAGGTCGTAGGCTACAGGAATTGTAAGCCCTTTGGTCACACGCAGCCCTGAGCCTACATGTCAGCGGCGCCTTTGTTAGCTCCTTGAACTGCTTAGACGTAAACTTTCAGCACACTGCCCTTGAAGGAAAGCGGGTGGAGCTAAACTGTCAAACACCAATCTGCATCCCACCCCGCCGGAAGTAGGTTTGTCGCTGTGGCTATGAGGCCCAGGGAGCCACCTCAGAAGATCAGCAAAGATGCTCTTATTCGTCAGCCTGTAGCATGGTAGAAAAATCTGCACTCTGGAGTTCGGGGAAGTTCGCCTCAACCAGCTTTGAAACAGGTAACATGCCTTTGTGCTACAAGTCAGAACAACGTAGCTGTTTGTGTCTTCCTGAGACGTGCCTCCGCCCTTGAAATTCAAGGGCGGAGGCGCGTCTCAGGAAGACACAAACAGCTACATACGTTGCTTCCTTGCACTGCCAGCTGCAAGACTCAGGAATCACTGCAACCCCTGGCTCAACATGATCCAAACGCAATACAGTGGCACATCAGCTCTGAAGGATCTAACTGCTCCCTCCTAAGCAAACACACGAATGCCAGTAGAGCTGGGCTCGCTGCTGAGCAAGAAGGCGTCCACAGGGACTTGCGGTATGTTCTGGCAGGAGCCGGAGGTTTGTCCAAGCATGTGAAGGATTGTCAAAGAGAAAAAGGGGGGGTTGAAAACAGATTCACCTGCAGGCATTTGCAGGCATCCATCTCTAGACCATAGCCCATCAAGATGCGGCCCATATGCAAAATCAGCACTGAAGGATCCAAACATCCGAAGCTGCTAACTGCTGACATAACAATGCCACCCCCCTTTCCGGAGATACTCCTAAATTATACAACCGCAGTTTCCCATCTAACTCTTCACTGCTGAAGTAACATTCAGCTAAACCCTACATCTTCCCAGTAGAATCACTTTGCTTGGAGAATATTCCCTATACAACCCCCATATAACAGTACGCCAGCATCACCACAGCCAGGGCCTCAGTGAGCCGCAGCCACAGACAGGAAGCATTTTGGGAAGACATTAGCAATTATTCGACCTAAAAAAGGTTGGAGTACCAATAGTGGGGCTTTGGGCGAAAAACCCTCTACAGTTTGGGTACTTGGACCTTTAGGGTCAAAGATAACTCTGATGACGCTGCGCGTGCCGTGCTTGAAGACCCTTGAGACTCGAGGGTTGACCATGCTCAGAAACATCAAACATCGCGCTGTTTGGTAGCTGTGAGACTACATCACCTTTCGCGCGGTAAGAGGCTTTTTATCCTTTTCCGTGTACAACCACACCACTGCAACACCCCCAGAGCAACACTGCATTGGCAATTCCTGCGCTTCTGTTGACAAACGTCTTTTTGTCTGCGGGCAGCCGAAGCCTGCTGCGACACGGTGTCCTTCTGGGGCTTAGGGGACTCAAGATTACACAGTTCCAGGCAGGCTGTCGGTAAGAGGATTTATATCGGGTTAAGCGTTTGGGGCTAAATAAATAGGGGGAGTTTATGACGATGCTCATAGCGACTTTTGGGCACAAGGCGGCGGATTGGTAAGCGCTACGTCTTGTGGCTTGCTGCCGAGAGCTTGGCTGTGCCCTCACACGTGCCCCAGAAAACATCCCGATCCCGAATGATTCCTTAATGATGTCGATGACGTACTCACCAGCTCTTCAGTCAAGGAGGCGCCCTTTAGCTTTTCTTAATTCATTTGTACTACTGCTACCGCCAGGAAATTTACAGGCGCCAGTGATGTTTAGTAAGGAAGAACCAGATGTGGAGCAAGGTGTCCGGAAGCCATCAGCCGATCGAAGAGCCGGTCTGCCTTCTGAAGGTATGGCTGCCGATCCTGCGGCTTAGGACCAAGGAACTTGGACCCTTACAATACGGCTTCCGGGTTTAAGGTCGGACCTCTCTGATTCGGCTTCCAGCATTTGCTGGTGCCACACACGGAAGGCTTGTGTGCAACGCGATGACCGTTGGGTAAAGGAGCTGCTAACTGCCAACCGACAAGCTGCTACACAAAAATTGCCGCTGTCAGCGGAGCACTGCAACCCTCCAGGTCCATGACGTCACGCCGCAGCACCTCCTGCCAAAGAGACAAGTTGTGCATAAAGAAGCGATGAGCCAGCGTGATGTAAAATTACATGCGCTATAGACTATAGAGTTGGCGTGCGGCGAGGTCATCAGGACACTTCCGAACTTAGGAACCAAACCGGAGGTCGAGAGGTCCACGGGCCCTTATTTTCAGAGTTCTGTTCACCAAGTCCTCCCTTTTTGTTCGCCACCGAAACAGGACATAGTCTCAATAGTTCATGAAACGCAGCCGCACAAAGATCAGATCCATTCATCCCACAAGTTGTTGGCAAGGGTGTGCCTTGACCGCGGCCGTCTCCTCAGAGTTTGTTCACTCGCAGCCTCTGACAACAAGGAAAATAAGGTCCTGGCAAAGAGCGGCAGCAAGGCCACATGATTATTGACTGGCTGTGTTGATGATATATACAGTCGAAGAGCGGTGCTTCCTAAGGTCTGGCGATGATGGTTGATGATGATGATGATGATGGTGATGATGATGACGATGATGAGGATGAGGATAATGATGCTGCCATTTGTCATTTGGGTTGTCCTGTCCTCTTCGTATTCTAAAGTGCCTTGACACTGCCCCAAGCCTCCTCTTGACCACGCTCTACCACGGTTTTTGGCATCATGAGGCCCAGGTTATTTACGTAGCCAACTTAGCCTGACTCGATTTTCAATTTTCCAGCTCACAGGGCCTACTTCTGCGTCATGGCCCAATGTCGCATCTTGCTTATAAGTCCTGAGGATTTGGAACTTTTGAGAATTCATCTGCTCTCTTTTAACGCAGAGAGTTGTGCTCAGGGTCAGAAAGCGACAAGGGTAAGAACACACTTCGAACCCAATCTACTTTCATACGTTGTCGCTACACTCCGTGATGTATCGACGTTGCAGGTAGGTGATGAACATTCTTGCAATGCACGGAGTACCAAGTTTATTTACATGAAAGCTTGTGCCTTCTCAAATTTGTACTTCCTCAGTACATGACCCTGCTGCAGTTGTCAAACCTTACGGGTCCCTATAGCATTCCTTAACGTGCGGCCCTTAAACAAACAAAGTCCAACAACTCTCAGCTGCTTGCGTCTCAAGCTAGCCTTTAAGGGTCGCAATCCGAAACCCTTCATGTCATACGTGACCCACTTCTCTATGCAATCTTCTTCTATCTTCTTCTGCGACTACAAACAGGACATAATAGCAATCTCACCCAATACGGTGGATACTGCAGGCTCACACATTGCCCGAGCGTCTGCGCCCCGCGCCCCGTGGGACCGCGACTCGCGGCCAAGGGCTCGGAGCTCGGAGATCAGAGCCTTCAAGGTTTTCTGCTTTTGAGCTACTTAAAAAAAAGCATTCCTCTTGATGGAATGGGGTCTATTGCAGGGACTGCACTAAGGCAGTGGTGGCTCACAAGCGTGGCGGCGCCATAGTAGATGGACTGAACAGTGTTCATGAACGCTTCTTCAGGTTCTGCTAAAAAGATGTTTCCAAGAGGTGAGGGTGGGATATATAAGGATTAGAAGTATTACTTGCGGGTGTCAGGGATGCTTCAAGCACTTTGGTAGCTCTGTAGGGCCTACTTAGGTTGGCAGCTTTGTAGGGCCTATAGGGATGAGCCCTCGGGCCAACGAACAGTTGAGGCCGCGTATACGTCAAACATCATCAATCCAACAGCGTGCATGTTGATAGCGACTATCTTCTGCCTTTGGGTTCAGACTCTACGTCCCTTGCGTCTCATCAACTTTTGCCTCCAACCTCCATGTTGAATCCGCATGACGAATATTGGCCCTTGAGGCCTTACGAAAACAGAGTGACAGCGTTGTAACCTCCCCTGCCTCCGCCTGACGGCCATGAAGTCGGCGGGGGCCTCCCTGTCGAAAAATTGTGGCCGGGGTGCAGGCCCGCAGCGTACAGTACGGTGTGTAACTCTCGGGATGTTCGGGTTTGGGGCATGGCTCAACAGGTTCTCGCAGGGTTTGGAAATTGAAAGGATTCTACAATCCAGCTGCTACTGTCGCTCTGATCAGTTGCGATCAGATCAGAGGAGTATCACAGCACTCCATCTTCCCTTAAACTTCCCCTCCTTCTCATCATGCAGTGCTCCTGCGAGTGAGAACTACCACCCGAGCATGTCTCCTTTCAAGTAGATGAAACATCCGCATGTTGAGGGGCTAACAGTTGAAGCAGATCTACACAATCTGTGCGGCTTTGCCCTGCCGCTTGTGGAATCGGTTGCAGCATGTATCGGATGATTGGGATCAAGTTGGTTGTTGGGGCAGTATTCAAGGAGCTCCCTTGCTGCTGGGCAATCTGAAGCCATCATTGGCAGTAGCTGACTCTTCTGCATCTTCAATATCTAAGTGAAAGCGCCCGGAATCCGGAAACCCTGCCGCAAGCCTGCGACAAGAAGCGAACGATGCACTGCACCTTGATCCCCCCTTACCCGGTCAGGCTTCAGAGCTTGGGGTTGTTTGGCGTATACCTGAAGAATCTGCAGAGCAAAAACGATCAACGACCCCATGCATCACCTTCGCTTAAGAAGCTCTGTATGGGTCAGGGCTCAGATCTGCACAAAAGAGTGATTCGGAAGGATGATCAAGCTTTGTTTAATCCGCATTTAAGTAAACCCCAAGGCTAGGGGGCTTCTCAAAACAGTGGGTCCTTTCTGAGGCCAAGACTACGCCTTCAGGACATGTATTCTTGGCGTGTGGAGAGATGCTGCAGACTAAGGTTGGGTTTGGCAAAGCATGAAATGCTCTTAAATTTGCCTCAGGCCACCGTTCCATCGAAGTTTGCTCTGAAATGTTGCAGCGACACTGTCAGCACGCGATCTGTCCCATTCCAGAGCCTGGGGTTGTTTCTCAAATCAGCTTCAATCCACTTGAGGAGTTTCTCAATACTTTCATACTCCTGGGGAAAGCCAAAATCCCCATTCAGCCCTGGGGTCCCTAAGGATGCTTCATCTTCATTAGTACCCAGTTGCAAATACACATGTTTCGAGGCGGTAGGTTGAAGAACACGCAGGAACAGCTGCTGCCCAGGAAGTGCACAATTGCCAGGGTATGCAGTTCCGAGAAATTATAGGGCAAAAATCACGCCATGTCTGTAAAGTAATGCCCCGTGCTTGGTGGCCAGTACAGGAAGGATCCGGCACCATCCTAGCATATTGAGTACATGCGATAGCCCTCTGTTCGCAAATCCCCTGATCCGAGGGCACTCAGTTGATGGATCAGGTTAACATAGCCTGTGCATGCAAGCGCAACTTCAAAAGCCAGCCGCCCCTTGCTGGAATTTCCGTCGCCACCACAAGAGCAGCAACTCGAATCAAGCAGACCAATAGAGCTGGAACAAGAGCATGCGAGTCAATCAGAAAGAATCATGTCTGTCAGGCTGTGAGAAGAATGCAGTCCGGACCTGTCGCGGCTTCTCACCGAACGCTCTGTGCTCTTGGGATTGCCATTCTATCTAATGAGACCTCCCACCAAAAAACACGCGGAATCTTCTTGAATCTTTTCTATGTCTGAGCGAGTGCAAACTTTAATTCAAAACAGGCAGCCTCATGTTGTGCATCATCTTCCTGGGCTGTCTTGCGTCCCGAATCTAGAGAAAGGAACTAACTGTTGACCTTACGCTTTACAGAAAATCCCTTCTCCAAGCATCTGGGATCTTGGGGGAAATTTAGAGAACAGCTTGTGCAACATGGGGACCGGGTTGTCACTTCAAGGCTCAGCAGCCCAATCTGGACGGAGATTACGAACTTACGAACCTGCATAAATCGTAGACATCCCGAGATGAATGCACACGCTTTGAGACCCCACTCACCCTGAGACCAAGGATGCTTGAATCCCTGTGGCTACGAACCATAGACTCCATAGACCCCAGAAAAGATCTCCATCATAAAAACTTAAAATCCTCACAATCCTACAATCTGCCTCAAAAAGGATTCTACAAAGCACCCAGCCGCAGGATCTCCCATCGCGCTCGCCAGGACTCCAGCTCTAAGCCCTGTGTCATGGAAACGTTCTGCAGGCGTTGGAAGTACCTTTGGCAGGCTACATCCTTGGAAGATGTTATGCTTGATGCTCTTGGTTTCAAGACGCAGTCCGCAGCAGAATCAGATTGGGAATCTCACCACCCAGTTCCTGGGTGATGGGCAACTTTTGTCCCTACTACAACCTCACGGCCACAAGAATTAAGGCACAATAGCCGCACGGATCTGCTTAAATCCTGTCTGAACTGGGCACACACAGATGCAAGGCCCAAATACGCGACCTCACCAACAAAGTGTCAGATCGAATTTCCCTTGCCGGATGGCAAATGCCTTTCTGTCCCTGAACCAAGCCTACATTTCTCCCACCTGCCTTCAGACCTAGACTCCTCGGCGACAGCCTGCCGGCTGTCATCCACAGATGTGCGTGTGAACGCTTTGCAGGGTTTTCGCACAAGATGGGGTTCATTCCCGTGCTCTGCATGCCGAAGGCATCCAGCATGCGGGCTGTACTCTTGTTCCTCAACTCTACTTCCAGCTGTTAATCCCTAAAATCTTCGTACCCTGCACAAACGAACGCGAAGAGAAGCCAGCAGTCTCTAAACCTCAAACATCTTGACAACACGCAGCAACAGCAACTCTGTACTCCAGGAATACAAGCAAAGGAAAGTCTGTAGTCAGGGAACGAGCAGTGGAAGCCGCAGCCGCGGAAGATCTCCCTGCTCGGTTCAAGAGGTTCAGCGTCTCTTGTGCATAATATAAGGCCTTTGTGTTTAGGCTGGAACCCCCACCAATACCATGCAGCCCAAGCTCGGCATAATGATCCATATTCAGTGGTTTATCAAAAGCTGCTTATTGCGGCATATTCTGGCCGCACAAAGTGAAATCTACGCCTACGCAGCACCTCAGCAAGCTTGTTGCCCAAAACCAATTGAATTTAGGTACCCCGGGCTTCTTGAGGGCTTGACAGACTTGAGGATGCAGGGGCTAGCGGTCCAGGGTCTTGGGTCTGAGGGGTCTTGGGTCTGAGGGTTGGGGCAGGGTCCATTGTAGCAGTAGTGGCAATGATGAATTGAAAAGGAATCCAGCAGCATGCTCCAGGTTTGCATGTGGATTGTCTCCCGAGGCTCTGGGAGGTCTACTGACCTTTGCTAGTCGACATCACTGCTCCAGAATAATTTTGGGCAGAGTTACCGCTTGGTCACCAAATGCAAGAACTACTGGCCCAAGCTATCACCATATCCACACTGGACAACAGACTCACCACACACCGACTGTTAATGGAAGCCCTGCTAACATCTTTTTGATCACTGCAGGCTTCATTTCGTCCGGCTGCGAGCATGCCGCGATGTGCAGCGCCTGCACCTTGCTCGAGTGGTTGCAGCGATCTCGTCGGGGACCGGTCAGGCTTTGGATTGCACTTGATGTTGGACTGACGACGACATAGCTGCGCCTGTCTTGGCTTGCAGAAGCACAGCATTGCTTACCACCCTCAACATGCTGCAAGAGGAGCCCCCTGTCCACTGCCGCTCTTAGATCTTCAGTCGCATGACACCGCAGCCCTTGGGGAGAGAACAGAAGCTCCGCGAAGCCAAGAATCCAGTCAAAGCCTGCTGCGCATTGCGAGCAGCAGGGATGCGATGAAGATTCCCAGGAGGAAAAAGCCACCAGCGAGAAGGACTATTGACTGAAGTGCATTTCGCAATCGCCTCAGGCATTGTTGTCTCCCAAGTGTGCAGCTGACTCCGCAGCCAGACGGCAGAAGCTGGCAATCATCGATGTAACCTGAGGACGCCGCAAGGGGCAACTTGACTACATCTACATGGGTATGTCTTAAGCCAGGTCGCCGCATAGACATGCATAGACCATACACCACTCTCTCTCTCTCTCTCTCTCTCCTAACCGTTAAGACTTTCCAGAACAGGGCCCTCTGCTGGACTTCTTGCAAAGGCGCCATGGGCTTCAATCTGCCTGTTGCACATATTGACAAGGATGCCAAATTACTCAACTGCCAGCGTCTGTATGCTGCATACAGTATCCTAAGCCCTCATATTACGAGACATGAAGATCTAGATGAATCAGGAGCAAGAAGTCGGCAGCAGTTCCAAAAACTCCTTCCCCCAGGCAGCATGAAGACTGACTAGGGTGACTAGAATATTCATACTCAATTCGCATCTTTGTACTATAAGATGCCAAGGCCACGTTAGACACAGGCTTACAGATGTTTCTTGTCATGTGGGGTTTCTAGTTGGACCAGGCAGCCGTGCAAAGGAAGGGTTCAACTGCGGCGTCCGACCGATTCCTTGGTGTCAGCGGCGATTTGATGCGGGTGGGCAACCAAACGAAGGAAGCACAAGCCATTGACCCGGGTGGTGGATGGCGAAACGCACAGAAATCCTCTCGCCACCGGGACTCCCATGGGAGCCCTCCGCCAATGCCGCAAACACGCGGTTGAACATCTCTGGGCCGTGCCTTTGCTGAACAAAGACTGCCGGACACGCTTCATCTGCCTTCCCAGCTTATCATTTTGCCAGGTCCTGGTCTCCTAAGTTTGGCCCTTCTACACAAGGGTTCAACTTTTTGTAGCAGGTTAGTCGCTGAGTGAGAGAAGCTTTCGTAAAGGCATACACCTGGAACAAGGTTTCTGGCATGGAGTTCAGGTACCGACAAGTACTGCATTAGAGAGATAAGAGATGAGAGGAGGTGCACCGGATGTCAAGTCTATATCCTCCTCGGGCGTTTTAATGGCCCGCGGAGCACATACAGAGAAAAGGGTAGAAGGACGCTTTCACTGCAGGATCAGCAAGGCGACAAAGCAAAATTTGTCGAGCCACATCTCAGGCAGGCGCCGGGATGTCGACAGCATGTGTACCTTTTGCTGTCTTGGCTGTTTCAGAGATGTGGCAGGTTACCTCATTGGCTTGCACAGGGGCTGCTGGATGGTGAGCTTTCTAGGCCATTCTAGGCCTTATGCTAGACTGGAGGGCATTGAATTACAGTTTGCAGGTCGGGGATCTATTGCTGGAAAAGTTCAATTCCATGTCCAAAGATGATCGGGTCCTGGACCAGTTCCAGGCTGCGTTGCAATGTTTTCGGAATCAATAGCTCACTGGATGAGAAGATGAGAAGATCATCTGCCAGCATGCGTTCGAATTTAGCAAATCCATCTCCTGCCCGGCTATCTTTTATGCTGCTGGAGCATGCTCAGATCCTGCTCCGCGGTTTGGTCGCGGTGGGGTTATTCAACCCATTACCACTTGTTTTTAAATAAACGCGGGACTTGGACACCCGTCTAAGCACACAATGCCTGAAGAGCCCTTGACAGCATCACTCACCATCCCAGGCACTTGGTCCAACCACGCCGCGCGTGATGCAGGGTCGGGATCTGTACAGGCCTCGGTCCAGGCAGCTCAGGTTTTCAAAAATGCGAAGCTGCATATGCGCTATAGTCTAAACTCCTTAAAGGGGGTTATATAGGGGATTATATAGAGAACTATTATAGGGGATATCAAGGGGGATACTAGGAGTTTAGACAGTAGCTCATATAACCCCCATATAATCCCAGTTTCCATTTCATTTTCCATTTTCTTTTCCATTTGATTCTCCATTATTGGGGGGGTAATATAACCCTAATACACCCTAATATAACCCCTGTACAATCCCTATGATCCCTGTAGTTTCCATTTTCTTTTCCATTGTCCCTATATAACCCCAACCCTAAACCCTAAACCCTATACCCTATGGGTTTCTAACCCTAAGATGGAGTTTTGACTAAGGGTCATATGGTAATCCAATGAAATTGGTCAGCTGGTCTGAGCCGCCCTTCTGCTGTCCAAGCTCTCTTGCTCACACTACCGTTAGGGTTTAGGGTTTAGGGTTTTAGGGGTTTAGGGTTTAGGGTGTCTTTCCCTTTGGCCTTGCCGGCATAAGATTACACTAAGCTCAGCGCTTTGGGAAAGATCTCTCTAGAACAAGTGCACAGCTCTCGTAGACAACCGTTTCCGGCGGCTGCGACGCATGCTCATGAAGCCATGCTATTTGCTGCTTCCTTTGGCTATACAGTCACTGCACGAAAATCCGTTGGATTGGAAGACCCATGAAAGAAATCCGCATGGCAAATCCCAGCCAAATATTCTTACACCTGTCACCTTTGCACCCTTAAGACATGTTATTACTGCGTACCCATCAAGAGGTCTGGTCCTGAAGATCCCAGCTTTCCGAAGCATCTCATACGCCAGTTCACGGAAATGCGGCTGAAACACTTGAACCCCAGCTGAAGCCCGCTCCCGGGCGAAGTGAAGATAGTAATCTGCCAAAAGCCTTAGCAGCAGAGTGCTTACCTCATGGGGCTGGGATAGGCCTCGATGAGTTGTCTTTCACGTTGTCTGTTTGGAAAGATAAAAATTCAAGCCTTTGTTTCCACCCAATAATTACTATTGGTGAAGGGCTTGTTTGGACCAGAAGCAGCTGAGTCGTGAGTATTTAGATCCTGGGCCGTACTCATCGAACGGGCGGGTCCCGCCTGGTCCTTAGGACTGCTTTGATATGTTGTGCCTCTCAAGCTACGCCAGCTGCACATGGGCGATAAAGCAGACCTTTCCAGAAGCTCTGACCCAAATCTTTGAGGACTTGCACCATCAGTTCCGCAGGTTCCTTGATTCCTTAATACGCAACAGTAACTCCACACCCCATTGCAAATCCTGGTTTCCCTACTCGAATGGGACGGGCAGCTGCGCAAGATGCAAGTCCCGGTAGGCCTGCCGCCTCTGTTATAGCTGCTCAAGGCAGCAGAAGTGGAGAGGGCCACGTGGGAGCCGGGCTTTTTTTTACATGACTGCGCCAACTCAAGTGCTGTCGCTATCAAATGGCCTGAGTACGCAGATCTTCTGTAGGAAGCCCAGATACGCAGTCAGCATTGAAACAAGATTTCGAGTTCAATGCACTTGCAGAAAACCTTATACGATGGAACATCTACAACATCAAACAGCAGCCCAGATTCGTGGACAAACGCATCCACGAAAGTACTTGGAACAAACTTAGGAAGCCTTTGTCCTATGATGTGTCTGGGGGTTCTGGGGGTTTGTACTCGAATACAAAGTGTCTCACTTCATGGCCCCAATTTGCCCGGGGAGTATTTCCGAGTTCCCTGCTCTGTGCTTTCAAGGTGGAGATCTTTAGGTTTGTCTGGTTCACCAGATACACCAGTCACAAAGTACATGCTGTTAGTCCTTCATACATAGTAGTTGTAGTTGTAGGGTCCCACTTTGGGGGCTTGGGGCTACCAACATCCTCTAAGAAGTGCCCTAGGCATCTCTTGAGCTTACAGGGCTGAATCTGGTTGGTGGTCTCTATCTCTGCTCATATGGCTGTGCAACTGAAACACGTGTGTCCGCTGGTAGTTAAACTACAAGAGGGACCTCTATGTCCACCCTCCAGGGTCCCTCACTACTCCTAATACTCACGTAGCTCACATACCTTTGTTGAGACCGCTGGGCACAGGTATGCCCCACAAAAGGGTCTTCTCGCAAAGGTGCCTGTCGCACGCCCCGAAGTTCTGTTACAAGCTCATGTCGCGGAAGGGCCGCTGAAGTCTGTTACAAACCTTGTGTTTTTTTGCTTTGCAATCATATACCAGTTCCATACAGACCCCAGTACAATCCCTAGACACCTGCAAAATGGAAAGCCCAATCAAAGAGACCAGCAGATAGTTTCACTATGT